ACGAAAGGCATCCCTCCCCTTAGGCAGATAGCCCTCGTGTGCTTTGCCATAATTAAATACACTACCACCACCACACCACACCTACCTTTACCTAACATAGCATTTATGGCAAATTGTATATAAAATGCTTGAGCAGAACCTATTAGTCTAACAATGTCTGAAAGGTTATAAAAGTAGTTAATCCTTTATTGTGTACTGCGTTTGTAAAGCAATTTAATTTTATTAAAGATTCTTTTTCTCTATTTAATTTTAATTTTCTTTAATTGTTTTTCTCTGGGAAGTTCATCCCTTAGACATTACATTTGGACCTGCTCGTTTAAAAAATGTAAACGTGTGCAAATTATTCGCTAAATGCTAATTAATAGGGAAGAAATTCACATATGACTCTCCTAATTATTTTGAACCCGTAAGCATTCGGTTCTTCAACAAACTGCTTTCCGATGTTTTGATAATTTGTAATATGTTGAGCGAAATTCTGTTTCAGTATTCAAATTAAGCTAGCTAATTCAATTGAAGCTGAAGACGTATCTCTCTAAATTTCCTTGCAACATGTTAGGCGCTATAAATCCATATGTAAATATAATTCACTATTAGTTAATATAAATTAATAAGAGAACTAATTTTGAAAGGAATATTCTTTGTTAATGCAAATAGCGACTGTTACTGTTAATTTTTATTGGTGAATTCTAAAGCATTTTAATGAACTTTTCTGCTATATACCTTTGCTAGTTCGATTAAGTTGTATAGCGCCTGACTTCCTAAACACAGATAACAGCTGAGATGTTAGGAAAGATTTAATATTGAAGTACAGGATACATAAACTTGGAAGCATTTTTAAAATTCCATTAAAAACTACGAAAAGATGTACGAAAGTACGATTTCTGTTTGAAATTTTCTCAGATTGGCGGGTTATTTTTACATAGTGATCATTTTAGCTCAAGTAGTTGCCAGCAAAAGGCGTTATATCTAATATCACGAAACACTGCACATTTTTAAAGCAAGATGTCCCACCGAGAGCTCATACATGACTGCCACTTTATTAGAAATTTTGTCATATGCTTGAAAATGTGAACGCATAATTGCTGTATAATAAACTAGGTAATGAAGTAGTATGCAATTTATCGCCTTTTTTACATTTTTAGGCGGCATCACTAAAATTGGTTGTCATTTTGATCATTTCCTTTAGCAACGTCTGCGGAATTCAAATGTTCTTCTCAGTTCTGCAGATTGTACTAATTACTCAAACAAGTGAAATTCCTGCTGGAAGATTTTGAAGCTAAAAATTCTACACAGCATGTGAACTACCACACGGCAATTCTTGCAGTTCATCTCAGTTTTTGATTTATTGTATTAGGAAAGAGCGCACGAGGGCCATCTGCTTAAGGGGATCGATGCTTTCGTGGAAGGCTTATTAACAGAAACTAGCTCGTATCTATATTACACGTGGAAAAAGCATCGAAAACGCCCAAGCAACCAGCCCGTTGGCTGGGTTTCGAGCGATGCACCTAACTACCAGTGTGCAGCGCGTTACCCCTCAGTCACTGGCGAGTGCTCCACGTTATCTCGCAAAGTAAAATGGAAGAGATATATTAATGAAAATGATATATATGTTCTGGCCATGCTACGCGATATTCGTAATCTGTATGGCTGAACAACTCATAAAAACGCCACTTTTAAAGGTAACTTCTATTTTTGTTTTGTAAAATTGGAAGGAATTTAAATGGAATGGAATTAAAAATTTAATAGATTACTAAATTAATTAATAGAATCATTCCCTTTTATGTACGGAGGACAAAATAAGTCAAAGAATTACACAAACTCGGTATCCATGTACCGCCAAAAATCGCCAAGTTTCGCCAAGGGGTAACCTAAAATATACTTTTACCTTGGATAGTTTTTTAATAGTAACCCTTTCGTATAGACCAGAGATTTTGAATTGCTGTGTTTGGTTGTACGTCCGTAATGTTTTATGAAAGTGCTTTCTAAAATTTTGCTTAGTGTTATAAATGAGTATATTATTCCGGATACGACTATAATTTCTGAAGGAGTACATAAAATAGAAGGAACGGATTTATGGTTTTTTGGACGCTATTATACGTATTTATCCACTTTTAACAGCGGATGAGCCGAAACGACCAGATACTTAATTGAATTTTGCTGATCTTTGGAATATGGTAACAGGTAGTTTGGCGACATTTTGGAGGCGATAAAGGTAGGTAAGGACTTTGGTAATAATGTGAGAAGTACTCAGTACCGATTACGCATTATTATGTGTGAGGGAAATGAGAGATCATGAGATATGTCATGTGACATTAATGGACGAATTATAGTTCTTTAATCGGAAGAGGGGGTAAATTTGGAAAAATATCTGTAGTACTATATTATTTTGTATTAAGCTTCATTGTGTATTGTGTGAAATAGTGTTGATTAATTTTTAGATTGCATGCGCTATCTAAAGTGAATTCTAAATTTTTAATGCGTTTATCAGGTTCAGTGTTCCTCCTTACTTGTTTCGGGAACATTATATGACCTGTCTCGGAACAGGGAGCTTACTAAAGCTATGTTCAATAAATGTGGGAAGTAGACAAAATACACAGGAAGGGTATACGAAACCCTTTATTTTTTCTCTCTTTACAATGATTTCCGGACTTCGGAATACAGAGACCAACCACTTGTGGTCTGAACGTAAGAATATAAAAAATATTAACTAAATTCTAACTAAACTAACTTTGGGTTAATAAACAAGCGGCTACTTGAAGATTGGCCGTAAATTAACAGAAAGGCCGTATGTAGTACAGAGAACTGTTAACACTACCATACGTTTAAAATTATCAAGAGGATTAAACCTCTGGCCTTGAAGGCAACCAGCAACCGAGTAAAACTGCTAAGGCAAGCGGCCTGCTTCTACTAACTCCTTCCTCTCTCTCGCTTGACAAAAAGCCACAACTTAAGTACTTGGTGTTCGCAAGACAAATTTGCATAAATAAGTTAAAGCTTTTAATTCTGGCCAGAAGTAGAAAATAAGAAGTGATAGTAAAGATTTAAAATAAAATAAACGTTAGTAAAACTTAAGATCCTTACACGTTTATCTTATAATTCAAAAGAATTGGTTGAATGGTGTATGACTGTAGGTTTAATTGCGGATAAGTATTGAATGTCCAAAATGTGGGAATGAAATGAGATTGTGTGAAAAGAAGGATATTACAGATAAGTTTGAATGGCGGTGCAAGAAATCTGGTGAAAATGGACATTTTGTGAAACGGAGTGTAAGGAAGGGTGCGTGGTTTGCTGAAAGTAGTTTGAGTATGGGTGAAATTTTATTAATTTCTTATTACTAGGTGAATAAACTGCTAGTTGACTACTGGATTTCGGATTTAGAAATAAGCAGTAGTACTGCAGCCGATTGGAACTCTATCTGTAGGGAAGTGTGCGTGCCACGTAATGAAGATTCTGAAGAGGATTAGGTAAGTTATTATTTATATTTTAAGTAGTGTTTTTTAATTTAATTGTATTTTAATTTAACGATCGTGATTTTGTGAGATATATGTTTGCAGTGTTTTGGAATACGTTTGAGTAGTATACGTTGAGTATTTTCATGCATTTTCGTGAAATTTTTCTAATTTATGAGAAAAAAGCAGTGTACATGGATATAGTGAAGAGTGTGCGCAATGCCATTTTTGTGCAATTCTGGGATGTTTTTTTAAGTAAAAATAAGTCGATTTGTACATGTTTAGTTATATTTTAATTAAATGATAGTTATTTTGTGAATTTTATGTTTGTAGCAATTTGGTATACGTTTCTGTTGAAGTAAACGTGTATGGAAATAATTTAAATATTTGACACTAAGTATTTGTAACTATTTTTAATGTTTGCGGTATAAATTCGTTGGTGACGTTTATAATATAATAGATAATTTAGTAGTAAAGGTTTCTGGATATTTTATTTATTTTATACGAGGAAATGTTCATCCTTGGAAAGGATATATACTTTTTCGCGATCAGGTAATTTCATGTATGTGCTTTTTACCGAGTTTAAAGATTCACAAAATTTTCCTGCATTTTCGTGTAAATTTTTGTAATTTATGATAAAATAGCAGTGTAGATGGATAAAGTTAAGAGTGTGTGCAATGCCATTTTTGTGCAATTCTGGGATGTTTTTTTTTAAGTAAAAATAAGTCGACGTGTAAATGGTTTATCTGTATGTGCTATTCTGAAAAACGCGGAAGGAGTTTGCGATTCTGCACTTTTTCCCAATTTTGCAGTTAATATTTGTCATGATTAAGCAGTTTTGTTACATAAAATTTCTAGCATAAGTGTAATTCGGCTAGTAGATTGTTGAAAAAAGTGTTGAGTAAATAAAAAGAAAAGAAACATGTCTTTACTTAGTGAAGACAAAATGGCGGCGAAAAAAAAAAAAATAGAGTATTGCTGTAGCAGAGTTAGTCGCCAAATTTTCGCCAAAAAATCACCAAGTTACCATAATCCAAAGATCAATCTTGAATTGCTTACGTGGACGAGATGATGTTGGGAGGAATTCAGATATGCACGTGAACAAAAGGTATGTTAAAGAATTGACGTTTTATTTATTGGTGTTAATTTTTGTTCTTTAATGTTTTTATGTTAGGAAATATGTATTTTTCGTTATTTATTACTCTGTGTTTGTGTATTTTGGGTTATTTGTTCGTGTCTATGTGTTATTTGTTTCTGCTTAACATGATAGTTTTAACTTTGTTTTAGCTGAGTTTGTTTCAGTGAAAATAGATCGATGTGTACATGGATAAAGTTAATTAGTGCGCAATGCCTAGTTTGTCCAATTCTCTGTTGTTTTTTTTAAGTTAAAATAGGTCGATGTGTACAAGGATAAGTTAAATTAGTCAGCAATGCCTAGTTTGCGCAATTCTCTGATTTTTTTTTAATTAAAATAGGCCGATATGTGCATGGACACCGAGTTTGTGTAAGTGTTTGATTTTTTGTTTTCATTTTCTGTAGGGGGTTTCGTGGCGCCGATCTTGGCGTCAAAAAGTCAACGATTCGCCAAGCGGAACCGTAGAGTAAAGATTAACCTCGCCATCTAAAAAGGTAATAACTAATTAAATGTGGTATATCGCATAATATATATCTACTATTAATTTTCTTAATTTATTCTTATAAAAAGGTAGTAATAGCTCCATGTATCAGAGAAAATGTGAAAAAAATACGCATCTTTTGCGCCCAATACAAAGTTCCTGTGATAACTCAGGTGAAAACTACTAGCGTATATACTAATTTATTGTTTTTGTAGATATTGTAATATATGTCAGTCCACAAGCAGTACATAAATTTAACTGGACCATATTCTTTATGTGGATCTAAAATCTCATTCCTGTATAGAGACGTTACTTGCTAAAATCATGAGCAGCGATGCGCGTTTGTCTATTCCATTTCCATATTTTTATTCAGTGATTTACATTCTATTATTAGAAGGATTATTAAGAATTTTTGTCACTAATTAGATGTGAAAACCTCAAGGAAACAGAATGTAAGCTAATTCTGACCTCGTTGTGTTGAGAACCTACAGTCCCCTTAAACCTTCATAAATTTAAGATAGTTCTGTGAGATCGAATCGTATTGTGGAAATAAATATGCATATATTTTCAGGAAAAGTCAGGTATTGTGCCAAAGCACATGTGCTAGAACAAAGCCATTCAACGACATGGTTTTTTTTGTCTTTTCTGACACACTTTATAACCATCCTATGTTTTGAGCGTTTTCATAGTTTTCTCCATATGGAACGTATACACAAACCAGTTTTCCTTAGAAAGTCCTCTACGAAGGCATTCCTCCCCTTAGGTAGATAGCTCTAGTGTGCTTTGCCATAATCAATTAAGACAAACCAACCCAACCATCCTATTTTTATGCTTATTCGCAAGTATAGAGCAGATAATTAATGTCGTTTTTCAGTGCATTGATTAATAAGTGAATAGTGGTTCTAATAACAATAACATAGTTTTATATGTCTACTTTTTTACGCTTGATTTCAGCCCCGCTAGTAACTGAATGCTCAAGACCACTGAATACACCGAATTCCTCTCGCGTTCAATTCCAGAAGAACAAGTTTAATGCAGAGTTGTTTTTCTCTGTGTGTAATGTAAACATGAGCCAATTTTCTTTGGAAATTTCTTCACGAAGATATCCCTCCCTTTAGGTAGATAGCCCTTGCGTGCTTTATCATATTTCATTAACCTAGATTAAGTATTTCATTTGATTTTAGACTGGCACAGTAATTCAAATTTTTTATATTGTAAATAAATGAGACGAACGTGAAACATGGTATTAAATGTACTAAATATCATGGTGTAGAGAATAAAATAAATAAGTTTTATGCTTTGATGTACTCAATTGAGATTAACAGTACCTTTGGCATTAAGTAAAATGAAATTTAGCTTTATGAGTTAGATATTAAAAATTCCATATTTGAGTTTGAGTTTTTAAGAAATTATTTCATTCTTACATTGAAATGTAACAATATAACGCTTTATTTTAGAAATATAAAAATTGGATGATTAGGATTAAATTAAACATTTTGAACTTTATATAATCTGCTAATCAACTTATAAAGTATACTGCAATTATAATTCAAAAAGGAAACTATATATGGATGAATGTATAGTAATAACAAATTAAATAAACACTAAAATATGTGCTTATTTTTCTAGGGGATCTAAATATAAAATTAAATCATTTATTTTTCTTCCAAATTATGATAATTTGTAATATTACAGAACCAGCTGTAATGCAACAGCACAAAAATTAATTATTGCAAAATGCTTACTTTGTTTGACATTAATAATATTATTAAATTTAGCCAATTAATATTACTTTACAAAAAGTTATAAAATATATAATTTCAATACCTTCTGTAATCCGGTATTTTTAAATAGATCATGAGGAATATACTGCAGAGAAGAATTGTTGATGGCAAGTGAATATAACTTGTAACCGTTTTCTACTGTAGATATGGGCTGATATAAATCCGCAACATTGAAAATATTAGCACAAGCCAACATAGCAAATGTGTCATAACTTAGACATCTACAGAAAGGAGCTATTAACTCTTCTGAGGGGCATGTTCCAAGAACCACACCACACAATACCGTCAGTATTAAACATGGAAACATAGAATCTGTAATATTAACAAAATAATTATTAAAATGCATAAATCTATTATACATAAAAACGCACTAAACAAAAAGGTTCTGAGAACGCTGCCAATAATACAGAAATACTAATCTAGTTTTCCTCATAATTTATTAATGGTAATTATAATAACAATGAGTGTTATGAATAATGCAAAATTTACAAGAAGAAACATGTTTATATATGGTATGAAAAGAAAGTTATTCAAGCTCAAAACTCTCGACGTGGAAAGTAGCTTCAAAACGTTTTACACATAGAAACGGTGAACAAAATTATCGTTTATGGAAAGGGAAGAGAACTCAGAAATACTAATGAGATGATTACTTTTAAAATGTACAAGCATGATATAACACATATGTTTTAAGTTAGCAAATAAATCTCATAACTAAACCCAAAACAAATTTTTTATCATTTTTCAATGTCACTTATAGTGGATCTTAGGGAAATGTTGCTATCGATGCGCCACTTTTTACAAAATGATCCTTAAAATTGGAGCAGTTTTACAGTTTTGTATATGTTAATGTAACTATCACTTTCCATACTACACATATCTGGGAATAGACGTTGTAATTATAAAATGTTGAGTAAATATTAGAAAATAAAAATAGTTGCCACTGGCGCAATGGAAAAAAAAAAAAACGATCGCCTTCATTGAGACAGAGAGTTCCTATTAATGGGCCAGTAGCTATTTTCCTTTTAATACATTATCATCTTAAGTCAATAAAAGGTTTTGACCATGATTTTTAAACATAAAATGCTGGTCAGAAACTAACACGCCATTGAAAATGCATTGAAACATACTGATGGGTCCGCATTATTTACAAGGAATTAGGAGTTGGATCTAAGTTTAGGCTTTATAATCATAAAATAATTCTAATAACATTGAATTTCTTTTATTAGAAACAGTTTAAAGAAAATGAGAATTTGAGGATAATTTGTAATTAGGCTAGAATAAAGAGAACAATAACCATAAATTGAAAACTTCAAATAACATAAAATAATTATTAAGCCTACTATTAATATTAGGCTATAATTCTTACACAAATTACTGCATCAATTATTCATTCTTAATGAGTTCAATTGCATTTTTCGCAAAAATACATTTTAATCCCATTTCTACACCAGCACACTTCTTATAACAGATAACACAGAACCATGAATACTCGTTGGAACTGATAGGCCTATTTATTAAAAGCAATAAAAGTTTAGCCTTTAACCGTCTTCTCCTGCTCAGAAGTTTGGAGTCGTCTTTTCACAGCTGTGACCCCGATTTTATAAGGTTAACATCAAAATCAGAGATGTGCGACAAGAAAGCATAAAGCTACTGTCAGATTGTAAAAATATGTAGCGTAGGCATATCATAAATTTAATATCTGGCTTCGGTTAGCTAACAGTTTTAAAATCTCTAACAAGTGTGCATTATAGGACACAGCCCATTGATAGCTTCCTTAACCTGTCTGAAAGCATAACAACGAAACTTTTTCTACCTACAAATATTTGTCAAACAAAATAGAGTCACACCCAGAACTTCATATTACTAAGAAAACATTTTAATGTAGTTTCTGCTAAATACTGTCATTTTTTTTTTAAATTTGGAAGAAAAATAACAAAATAAAAGACTGGTTCATAAGGCTAACTGAAAATTACCGGCAGTCTGCTGGTCTGACATTTTGGAGCCCTGTTAAATTACATCAAGTTATGTAAGCTAATTTACATTTGGTAGCCATATTTTTCCAACAAGTATTTTTACATCTAATTAAAACTTTTCCACGTTTCAAAATCTATTTTACTTAAAATAAATTATATACTATAGATATTATGATAAAACCGATATGTGCAAGAGACAAACCCACCTCTGGATTTCTTCGTATTAGTCTAGCACAACATCAGACTTTGAATAAAACTTACATCCAACATATTTTCCAAATAAATTTAGTCAAACCATTTCATCAAATTCCAATTTCTCCAGAGAATGTTTATAAAACTGACATGTCTAAACCCTTCAGACTTTTCGAGAACACTCCGATGCAATTTGGTTTGTGCAATGCATCAAAACCTCTTCAAAGGTTTGCGATGAGATGACGAGTGGTTTAAAAAGTGCAATGACATTTTTATTACCTTCAAAAGCAATGACATATTGAACATCTACGAGCTCTCTTTAACAGATTAGATCATTTTGGTTTAAAATTACAACATTCAAAGTGTACCTTTGGAGTTCATACTTTGATATCTTAGGATTTAAAGTCTCTGTCTTTAAGACTCTTTCTTCAATTCTAGATCAAGTCTATGCAAGTTTTAAATTTTCCTTGACTAACAAGCTTAACACAGCTTCGCAGATTTCTTGGTCTATTCAGTTTTTATCTAGGAATTTTTACCACGTGCAGCACGTGCAGTTACGTTTCTCGAAGGTCATGTTAACAAAAAGAAATCATTCTGCCGACTAAAATTACTGAAACTCCTCTCGAGATGTCTGAAGGTGAAAAGTCATTTTCAAAGCTAAAGATCTTGCCAATCAATCTATTAGGAATTTCGGCACATGTTAAAAGGTCGAAACTTCGTCATATTTACGAACCAATAAGCACCAACATTCGCTTTCATATAAAAAGCAGAAATACGCTCTCCTTGACAACTGAGACATCTAGATCAAAAATTCTTAACAGGTGGTACGCAAGAGAAAAATAGGTGGTTCGCAAAAGATAAAGTATTTTTAAATATTAAATTCAAAATTTAAGTACCCCAACATTCTGTTCATGTTTTTTCTATAACACCCGTAAATTTTTGCTGTCTGAGCTTTGTTCAAGATCAATAGACTTTAGCGAAATAATCCGTCTTTATTTTCACAAATAATCGTTTATCCATATACAGAAAATTTTTCATAAATGATGTTTTTCAAAGTAGTGATAGAAATGGATGATTATTTAATAAGAAATAAAGAAAGTTCCCATAAAAAGATAATAGTATCTCATAATTCTTTTAGAGATGATCGATTTATTAGCATGTCTACACTTTATGCGCCATCATTTCCGGGCTCATATTGCGCTATTTTCAATTAGAATCATTTTTCTTCACAGTGAACATGAACGCTTTGGTACATTCTGAAGTAAGGTGGTTATGCAGAAGCAAATTTTTAAATCGTCTTTTTGATCGTCGAACAGAAATTCAAATTTTTCTCTATGATTCAAAATTTGAATTGCAAAAATGTTTATTTATTGAAATATGCTTGGCGAGTAGCATATTTAGCTCATACGTTTGGAACATTAACTGAATTAAATTTAGGATTACAAGGACAAAGTGTTAATTTGTTTACCATTAGAGATAAAACAAATGCAATGACAAAAATCTCGAACTAATAAAGCTTTTTACCACTTTTACAATGTTTTCTAACCGGAACTAATTTGAGAATAAAAGAAGAATTAGAATCCTACTAAAAATCATTGTTTCTCATTGATAAATAATTTCAAATAATTTCAATACCCAATGATTATGAAAAACGAAAGTTGGATTAGAAATCTACAAATGTACCTGAAATTTTATCTCGTGAAAAAGAACACTTGAAAGAAATTCCCCGTAATCGAACTGTAACTGAAGATTTAAAAAATAACAAACTGTTGACTTTTGACTGAATAGGAAAAAAAAAAAGAATTTAAAGGAATTTCACATAAAGCTATTAAATTTTTGTTGCCTTTTTGCATAACCTATTTGTGTAAACAAGAAGTTTCGTGCATGTTATATTTGAAAAATACATACAGAACAAAATTAAAAGGGAATCCTGATCTACGGATAAAACTAAATGAAATAAGACTAGACTTGAAAAAATATGATTAGGCTCAAATTTCGCACTAAATTTTAGAATTTAAGTATTATAACTTAAATATTGATAATTAAAATGGTAGCCAGTTTTAAATGTAATATTTTTATGTGTGAATATTTGATACAAATGGCCAATAGGTTGTGCAAAAAGGAAAAATATATTTTTTTATTATTTCTATTGAGAACTGAAAATAATCATTGTAAAATGTGGTGATGGTTTTAAAGACTAGACCGTCAGTCTCGGAACGCCTGCTATTGTTAGCTGGGCGAGTTCAATATACGCAGGTGAGAGGAATAGAAAGGAAAGGTTCCAGAATGGTTTCCAACGGATCGTGGAATGGCTTTCAGTGGGTAATAGGGAAAAAAGGGATATGCTCGCTGACTTATTCCCGAACCGTGGTAGGATTTTCACTGCTTATTTTTATGCCCCATGTTTGATTGAACATTTTGTTTTAAGGACAGATTAATTTTTATCAATTTATGAAACAAAAACAATATTTCGTAGAGAAATACGTGATTGCAATGTAAAATTGTATGCTTATTTAAAACTTGCTTAAAGGCATAACGTTTTGGCGAAATTACATATTTTGTTTATTCCTAACGAAATTTAATATTTATTCGAACTGTTATTACGGTAAAGTAACAGAGTATTACATGAAGTTACAATACGTAACTGTAAAGTTTTTATTTACTTAAGGTATTGTAGAAAACTGTAACTGTATAAAAAAAAAGGGCGGGCAGACAATCAATAAGAATAATAAATAATACACTTACTAACGAAACGCTAGCTACCCTCACAATGCAGGAGCTCGTTCATAGTAGGCGCTCAATCCCGGAAGGACTCAAATTCCCTATACTCAAAATCTCTTTTCCTTTTTCCTTTTAGCTCATCCCTACTTTCACGTACCATACCTATAAATCTTGGACTCTCCCAGCAAACAATAGAATTCGTTCCGGGATTGAGCGCCTACTGTTTTAAAGTTTTTTAGTTTGGGTTTAAACGGTAGGCGTTAGTCAAAATGTTGAGAACCGCTGAATTAGATCATATCTTTTAATTTTCCTCTCGTATGCAATCAG